AGCCCAGGGAGGGCTCCTGATCCCCAGTCAAGCCCAAGGAGGGCTCCTGATCCCCTGTCAAGTCCAGGGAGGGCTCCTGATCCCCTGTCAAGCCCAGGGAGGGTTCCTGATCCCCTGTCAAGCCCAGGGAGGGCTCCTGATCCCCAGTCAAGCCCAGGGAGGGCTCCTGATCCCCAGTCAAGCCCAGGGAGGGCTCCAGATCCCCAGTCAAGCCTAGGGAGGGCTCCAGCCCCAGAGCTCGCTCCAGTGTCGGCTCGAGCCCCAGAGCTCGCTCCAGTGCCCGCTCCTCGCTTTCTAGAGCGCCATCTAGTGCCCGCTGCTCCAGAGCACCCCCCAAGATTTCCCCAAGAAAATGTTTTTTGGGGGGGGGCATATACCCGTGGCCGAGCCAGCTAAGGCCACGGAGGATCCGCCATGGCCTCCTGAGTCCCCTGATCTGCCATGGCCTCCTGAGTCCCCTGATCTGCCATGGCCTCCGGAGTCCCCTGATCCGCCATGGCCTCCGGAGTCCCCTGATCCGCCCTGGAGGCTCTCCTTGTCTCCGCCCAGGGCGCCTGCACCCCCTCCCCGATGTTACTGTTACGGCGTGGGACGCACCGTCCGGGAGGGGGGCGATCTGTCACATGTTTATGTCAACTCCTTGTGCTACGTGTGATTCCCCGCGATATAAATAAATTCCTTGGTTTTGTACTCCTGGTCTCCTCGTTCCTCGCTCCGTGTTCCTCACAGTAGTGACCCGTGACAGCTTTCTCATCAATATGCACTACTGTGAATTGGAAATATTGGTTCAGTAGATTTCAGAGACCTTTCAAATGAATGTAGCCTCAAGGGCTGATAATGGAAAGATCCAACGAATAAACTTCACATCATTTAAGATCGCCCATGACTCACAAATTCATCAAGAAAGTTTGAGTTCACTACTCAAGATGATTTGAAAAATGGTTCCGTGTTCCCGCACCGTAGCAACCCGTGACAGCATCATGGTAGTAATTGTTGTACTGCCTTTTATAATTTATCATTTTTTAAATTATTTTTTTATGACAATGAAGCACATTTTACACAGCTGTCATTGCCATAAGGCAACAAAATCTCATCACTTTTATGTGGAAAAAAATACATAAATAAAACATTTTAAAGTATCATGGTTATAATTGTTGTACTGGCTTTTATGATTTTTATTTTTATGTATTTTTTTATGAAAATGAAGCACATTTTACACAACTGTCTTTACCATAATGCAACTAAATCTCATCACTTTTATGTGAATTCTTCAAATGTTTATAATTGATTCCCATCACCATCAGCATGGAAAAAGCTCTCCTCAAACAACAGGAGGTCTTCATGTATGACTGAAAGCAGCGATTAGCGAGTGACTGTCCATCTCATGAATACTAACATATGCTGGTTTGTCATCTGTGCACATGGAATCCTTCCTCCAGCAGATGGAGGTTTGTTCGAGAGCATTTGGTGTCCTCAATTACTAATTAATCTGACCTTTGAAATCGAACAGCGAAGAAAATTAGGCAACAACTGTATGTGGCAAGAAGCTCCACCATCTGGATTCTTCAGCTGAGATGTTTGTGTGGGATGTACTTGCTTTGTGCTAAACTCTGTCCATTTAATTCTTCTAAAGCCATTAATTGTTTTTTTAGACGCCCTAAATCCCTTCAATTGATCACTTTTAAAGTTGAGAGCTTTGCACCGTTTGACTGATGAAATAAATTGCTCTTGAGATTTGAAAGTGTTCTTCTCAATTGCAGTTATTGAATGAAAGGGATCATGCATGTGTTAAGTTCAGTCATCAAGTTAATGTAGTTCAAGGCAGATAGTTAATGTAGTTCATGGAGTTCAAGGTGTAAGATTCAAATCACAAGTGAGATCTCATTATGAGATCAATGTCTCAGTGTGTACAGTATACAGTATACATGACATTTCTTCTAGCCAGCAATGATAATAAATAAAATTCGCTCGGTGCATCGGCATAAAAAGTTAACGATGCGATGCATCGGTTTAAAAAGTGTGCATCGGCTACAAGTTGTCATTTATATCGCGATGCATCGTTTCTAACATATTTTCATCTGTAAAAACCGATTCATTTATATATAATTACTAGTGGATGCGCTATACTTTTATTTTTTAGAAAGTGACCAATATTTTATATGTAGATTGATTTCTCCTCTCTAAACCGTTTCTCAAGCGTGTTCTCTCATCACCGCTGCGTGAATATGACGCATCACAACACCACGGAGACCTGAGGAAAAACTGGGATTAAAGTCCAAAATCTGACTTGAAATAATTACCTAACAAATCAATCGGGGCTAAAGCGGTTCCATAAACGACAAATTAAATTCACACGATCTCATAATTTGTGCACGCTTATTCTTAAGCAGGGGGAAGTTGTGGCCTAATGGTTAGAGAGTCGGACTCGTAACTGGGCGAGTGAACGAGCGCTGCTGCGCGCTAAACAGACAGAGTGCAATCGAATAGGAGCACAATAAAATAATAATAAAATATACAAGTATATTTAAGTATAAGAGTAAAATATACATTTTGCTAAAAAATTGTTTTTGGACATTAAATGTGTCTTTTGTAGAATTTTAAACCTACATATAAAGTGTATTTTTTATGATAGCAGTAACTGTAAGTGGACTGTAATAGGTCAATCAAATGTAAGCTAATACAGTACTAATTACTAAGCTCAAATGAGTTAATGTGTGTTTCTTATAGCAGTTAAAATGTAGTCATTTTCTTTATTTTCATTTTTAATTCAGTGATTTTAACTTTTAGTTATTTTAATGCTTTAAAGAACCATTTTAGATTGTAATGTTCTAATGTTCTGCTATCTGTTCTGCAAACTATAAAAGGTACAGCTGCTATAAAACCATAGAGAAAGGCTGCATGGCTAGAAACTGTAAAAAAACGTCAAATAATAGTATGAGAGACAGTGGTAATATCATTATGTTCCTATTGGTCAGTGTTAAAGGAGCTTAGCTTAGCCTGACAGTTAGCCTGCTTTAGACCAGGTTAGTTTCCCAGCATAAGTTGCCACAGTGACTAAGCTTGATCTAGGCCTACTTTGCTTTATGGAACCAAATCATTTGACAATGAGTCAGACTAACTGAAATAAGCCTGGCTTATTTGGTTAACTTGTTTTATGAAACAGGCCTCGAGGCATTAAAAGTGATCATATTTTTCCATTGCATCATATTGCATCGAATCGCATTGTGTTGAATCGAATCGAATCGAAATCGGATCGCACTGCATCGTAATAGGGGTGAATCGTATAGCATCGCATCGGTAGCTGCTTCATATGTATCTTTAATGTATCGTATCGTTGGCTATGCATCGAGATACGTATCGTATCGGCCTGAGTCATGAGATGCACATCCCTATAAGCACACAAGCAAAGATTATGACATGAACTGCGTCTAGGAGTGCCGCTGGAATCGACTTCTGCTTGCTCACATTCCCAGAGACGTGTCCACTCGTTCGCCCTCTTCATGGAGGCTTACAGTCACAGAAACAGAAATGTAACGTTCTTCTCTTTTGTTTTGCAGGGGATCTTCCCAGCTGGCTACATCCACTTGAAGAAGGCTGTCGTCACGAACAGGGGGTAAGTGTCTTTATACTGATTCATGTCAAGCTGCTCCCTCAATAGAGAACAAATGGGTTGGACGAGGAAAGGTGACGGGGAGAGAGATGGATGGAAGAGAAGCGTAATCTATCTCAATCCTCTGATTCCCTTTCTCCTCTCCTGCTGGCTCATGAGTTTTCATCACAAGCCTAAAGATCTCTGAAGATTTCATCTTTTGGAAGATCTCTTACTCCCATTTTTCTCTGTCAAATATCTGCTTCAGATATGAAGCTTGGTGTGACGTGAGACCATCAGCTCCTGGGATTCAAATGCTTCATGTATTGAATGTTTTTTTTAAGGGATAATTGATTTAATGGATAATCAGAGAGGTTTATATCGCCTCCCCTTGTGAAAAAGAAGAGTATCGCATGTGTAGTGTACTTGAAATCTTAAAAATATATATATATTTTAAAAGCGGTACTTGCAGATAATATAATATTAATGAAATGAAAGTGCACTTAAAGAGAGACATTTTCATGACTGTTTCTTAACACACTTAAGTGCAATTTCAAGAAGTGCACTTTGTAATAAAGTCAAATTAAAAGTTTTGCTTCAAAATGAATTTTAAATCCTGCTATTAGTTCACCATATGCATTTTAGTTAGCTTTTCAGTGCATTCAGTAGCACATAGAATTATGAATTTACATACAGATGTACTTTCTAATGGGTCAAAAAGCTAAAAAAAATGCATTTATTATGAATTTAAACTATAATACATTTTCATTTAATTAGCAATTAACATGCTTTTAAGTGTCTGAAAATAATGCATTCAGTTTGCACTTGAAGAAGAAATAGTTAACTGAAAACTGAAAATTACTCTTCCTCAGGCCATTCAAGATGTAGATGAGTTTGTTTCTTCATCAGATTTAGAGAATTTAGCATTGCATCACTTGCTCACCAGTGGATCCTCTGCAGTGAATGGGTGCCGTCAGAATGAGAGTCCAAACAGCTGATATAAACATCACAATAATCCACACCACTCCAGTCCATCAGTTAATGACTTGTGAAAAGCTGTGATTAGATTGTGGAAAGATTGTTTCGCTTTTACAGATTCATTCACAGGTTTGAATCTGATTCAGTGGCACACTGAATGTTAATGGTTAAGGCATGCGGTATAAAGACGGAGAGAACGGGAAACAGTGAGCAAGAAAGAGAGCAGAGAAACTCCGGGCCGTCACTCCCAGTGGGAACTCACTGCCGAAAACATGGCACATCAGGGACTGTCGGTCGACAGCTTCTTCTGTTTGTTTTAGCCTTTGATGTTTTCCAACTTTTTCACAGGTGTTTGCGCGTGGCACCGTGAGTTGAACTTCACAGCTTCCCTCAGCACTCACGCACATGCGCAAACAAGCCTGTATTGTGTGAAGGCAGCATGCTAGAGTAGATCCCAGCAGTCGTGTTCAACACATACATGTTTACAAACAGCTTTACTTAGAAAATATTACACAATTATCTTAAAACCCGTGCACACTCTCGTTCACCTTTGATAATGATGCATTATGCACTGGTACAGTTTTTTACAGTATTTATTTTGTTCATGTCAGTTACAGTGTAAGCGTAGGACACATAAACAATAAAACAGTAAAATACAGTTTAAATAATATTTTTATAAAGTTTAAAGTAGTATTTTGAATATAGGTGTTTAAATATTTAATACACAAATATATATTTTTAGGTATTAAATATTATACATTATTTTATACATTTAATTATTTATTTTTTTTATTCTCGTTTATGTAATTTTTAAAAACCCCACATGAATATTGTGTTATTATTATTATTATCATCATCATCATCAAAAAACACCAATATTTAATCAACCGACTGTTTAATCAGCTCATAACAATGAATTACACAACCATTTAAAAGTTTGGGGTCTGTAAGTTTCTTCTGCTAACCAAGGCTGTATTTATTTGTTCAAAAATACAGTAAAAGCTGTGAAATATTAGTAGCCTACAATTTAAAATACCTGTTTACTACTGTAATATATTTTAAAATGTAATTTATTTCTGTGATTGAAAGCTCAATTTTGTCACGTCACATGATCCTTCAGAGATCATTTTAATATGCAGATTTAGTGCTTAGTAATTATTTATTTAAAACAGTTAAAACAGTTGTGCTGCATCATATTTTTGTGAAAACAGTGATGCAGGATTTTTGTCAGGAATCTTTGATGAATAGAAAGATCAAAGAAAAAACTTTTATTTGAAATAGAAATCTTTTGTAACATTATAAATGTGTTTACTGTCACTTTTGATCATTTTAATGCATTTCACTGGCCCCAAGCTTGAATGGCTATCCAAAGGGTAATTTCTAAATGACTTAAAACTACAGATCATATTTTAATGTATTAATGGTAGGTGACCCCATATTTGGGTTTTAGGTGATCCACAATCCATTTTTACTCTTAAAGTTCTCCACCACCTGAAAGAGTTTGAGACTTGTCTATGTAAATAGCTATGGTGCTGTGATTTTGTTGCTTAGCTTCAGTTACAGGGAGTCATGTCCAGCCGTGTCCCGGGATCAAATTATAGCGTCTCATCAGAATTCACAAAACAAGGAGAAAAGGACTCTGAAAGCTGTTACTTTGGACACACGTGATGATAAAGCAGAATAAAGAGATCAATCTGTTTCCACCATGTGTCAGAGAAGGACAGTGGAAGGACAATGAGGGCTGATGGATGTATAACAATATGGAGAGATGGATGGACAGGAAGAGCTAAAGAGACAACAGGAGAATTGAATGCTATTGGTTTATGATGATAGCTCTACGTACAGTATGCTGTTATTTTTTATTGTTAAGACCCTGTATGAAATGCTTTAACAAAGTTAAACAAATGATTTAAAGGCACAATATGTAATTTTCGCCGGTGGAGGGCGTGCATTCAAAATAAACAAAGAGACATAGGCGTAGTTTGATGACGCCGTGACTGAGTGTGGAGTCATGGGAGTTGTGGTCTTCATCTCCACAGCCGATGCAATCCGACGGGGCTCGGGCAGAAATCATGTTCATGGATGAGCTAATGATTTATTAACGTAGTAGAATGAAGCAGGGTGAGGCTGAAAGCCGTCGAAGCGAAACGAGGCCACTGAACGAGCGTGACACACGGCTCGAAAGCAGCGGAGCTTTTATTATGCCACAGTCGCCCACTTCCGCTCCTTCCGGTCGTGTGTATGTGGGGTAAAGCAGCAGAGCTTTTAATATGCCACAGTCGGCCCCTTCCGCTCCTTCCGGTCGTGCGTATGTGGGGTAAAGCAGCAGAGCTTTTAATATGCCACAGTCGGCCCCTTCCGCTCCTTCCGGTCGTGCGTATGTGGGGTAAAGCAGCAGAGCTTTTAATATGCCACAGTCGGCCCCTTCCGCTCCTTCCGGTCGTGCGTATGTGGGGTAAAGCAGCAGAGCTTTTAATATGCCACAGTCGGCCCCTTCCGCTCCTTCCGGTCGTGCGTATGTGGGGTAAAGCAGCGCTGTTTTATTATACTAGATACATTTGAAAGTTCTGTTATTATGCTACTCTGTGCGGTCGTCACCGGTCTATTAAAACGCACAACATATTAAAGCGTCTTTGGTCTTTCCATGTTTTATACAAAACAAAACCGGAAATCGAGGGGTTATGACGTCATTGGCAGGCGACACAATGACACTATGGACACGCTCCG